TCTCCCAATGAATTGTGATATTTGAAAATCCATACCCGGGTTTATTTGATAATCCCCCCCCCCCAAAAAAAAAAACACACACAAGTGTGGCATCTTCTTCTTCATTATTTTTTTTTATAATCATTGGATATTTAAATAGAATACTAAAGTCAAATTTGATTGTACACAAGCGGATTTGTCAAAATATATATAAAAAATGTTCAATTCCATCCACATACCGCCCGTGGATCCCAACAAAGCGATTGCACTCGCACGGGCAAAATTGCCTTTCGCAAACCATTCCAGCAACAGTTGAAGCGATGAATGAAGCGTGAGATTGGCGCCAACACCCGATAGGACTCCGTACGTTATGTAGGCGTAGCCCAGGGCCGGTACGAATGACGTCGTCAACAGTCCTGTGCAGTACAACACGAGCCCAATCAGCGTGACTGCCCTCTTGCTTAGCCTCTGCTCGAGCAGAACGGTGACGGGACTGAAGAGTCTGGCTAAGGCGGCCGATAAAGACCCCAACCAACCTGTCAATGGCAATTATGTTGCACACAAAATGTATACAAAGAATGTGCATAATAAAAGAAGAAACATTATCATACGACTCCAAGAAACATCGTTGTCTCAAATTAGATGCCATTTTGGTCAAAATACTTGACTTTTTTCTTTTTCAATTCAGCTCGAAAGAAAATTAACGCACATGTCAATTATATGTCAGTATAAGGACCCCTTTACACAGGGCTGCGACCTTTGTACCAGCTATGAACGACTAAAATGGCCAAGACGCTCATTGGTCGCCTAAACCCAAAAAATCCTGTTTCTATGTAACTGCTCCAGCGATCTTTGTGCCTCCATTAAACCACCAAAACTGCAATTTTCGGGCATTTTCATGTCGAGCTACGTGCGTCCACTTAGCCACTTGCCTGCCTCCCCTGTGCTTCCCCTGTGCAACCTACGGCAACCAACGCCGAAATGGAGGCACATCGGCCACCACAGTCATCGTTCAATGCACGCTATTGGTCGGCCAAAGGAGGCACAAGGGAGGCAGAAGCATATCGCCCAGATTGACGGTAAAATCTGCAACAGAACGGATCTATTACGTGGCGACCATTGGCCGACCATTGTGCATCCATCCAAATTTTCAAACATTTACGGCTACAATGGCTACCATGGCGATGTCTGAACATCCTGTGTACCACCTTTGAACGCTCTAGGTAACCATTCGCCTCCTTTGAGCCTCCAACGGCGACCTGGCTAGTTTTATGGTCGCACAAGGGAGGCCCAAAAGTCGCAACCCTGTGTAAAGGGGGTCTAAGAGAATTCCAGAGGCTGACACAAAATCAAATTTGTTTGACACCTTTTTCAATACTAAGACCGAACCAAAATACTTTATCATCAAGCCTGATGGGTCATTTCGTCAGAACAAAACGCTCTTAAAGAGAGAGAGAGGGATTTAACAACGGTCTCTGCAGAGACCGTTTTAAAGTTTGTGTGCTTTGCTGCTTGGATGTTAAAAGAAAACAAAATTGGATTTGTACCTGTTATTGCCGCAGCGGACTCGAATTCGTCCTGAAGACTCAAATACAATATGCTGAAATTGAACATTGGTCCAAGAACGAGGAAATACAGCGTGAATGTTGCCAGCGTGACCACCCAATGCCACCGTCGGAGACAGGTTTGTATGATGGCCATTGCTGCTTTCGCGTCAGTCGTCAGATGTTGTCTCTTCGTGGTAGTGCAAAAGACGGCCCTTATAGTTCAGGTTCATTGAACACCAACGAGCACAGCGCGGCATTCATAGTCCTCATTTTATATAGCAAGTTGTGTGTCTCTATAACTTGTATAGTCGCACAAAAACCATACAATCACGGTAACCTCACTGCGAGGTCAAACTTTGTGTGCAAAACAACATATATTAGTACTTTGACAGTTCAAGGTAAATTATTGCTGGCATTTTTTCGTTGTATTTATCGCATATACATGTGGCCTCAACTAAAGCCGAACATTTAATGCAAATGTTCATTTCTCAATTCAAAGGAACAACTTTAATTGTGATCATCTATAAACTTCAAAAACAAGTCATAATGCTTTTAAGACTGTAAGATTTAAGAACTGTAATTATGATAAGAAAAATATTAGAGCGATGACTAGACTTTTAACTTTCAGAAAACGCGCTTCTAGAGTAAAGTTTTTAGGTGATTAAAATGGTTAGCCGATAGTGTTAATAATTTGGAGGAGTGGGGGAGAAACACTAAGCTAGAAGAACACCCATTCGTTAAAAATATAACAAAAAAGTGGAGATTTGTTGGACCAGGCCCCCCATAGAACTGCGCCAGAAATAATTTAGAACAATGCTAGTTGTAGAGTTTTGTTTTAGGGAAAAACAAATAATGATTAAATTAGTTTCCACGTAATATTGTACGCTATAGCGTGGATTAAACCGTCACTCGTAACGGCCACTGGTAAAAAGGGCACTTTTTTAACCCCCAAATGACACTTAAAATAACCCCTCAAAACAAGGGCACTTGTTAAACAAAAAAGAGGGTGGAGGGTACTCATTGGATATATTGGTGGGGGGGACACTGGTGAAAAAGGGGGAACTTGAATGGTAAAGGGCAGTCTTTACAAAGGAAGCCCTCGCTGGCTACGCCTCTGACACGTGTTGTGAGATTGGGTTTTCGGCCTAGCTCGCCTCATTATTAATCTGTGGAATATTCCCTTGCAAGGGTCTATGATATGCAAACAGATTCGGCGATTTGTTATGCAACTAGACTGTGTCATGAACTCGAGATTTTGACCATTCAGCGGGCGCCTATGATATCGAGTCTTCGGTAACCCGTTGGACGACATCTACAGCAAGGGTCTATGATATGCGAGCAGATTCGGCGATTAATTAAGCAAAACAAGACTGCGTCTTGACCTCAAGATTCTGACCATTTAGTGGGTGTAACCCGTCGTGGTATTACAAAAACATAGCAGTCAAATTAACCAATCAACAGCTTAATCCACGTTTCTAATCAAAATGACGTCACAACTTTACAGTCAACTTCGATTGGCTGGCGCTTGGGTTCGCTTAAGCATTTGCTTGATCAGATAAATGTATCACACGTTGATTACGGAGAGGGCTCCATTGAACAACAGAAGATACTCAGACTATTCATTTATCGGTACCATCATAAATGGTCCGTCCACGCGAGACGTATGTATGCAGCTCGGAAAAAAGTCGCCTAATCACCATTTTGCGTTGCTATTTCATCGGCAATTTACATCTCAAATCAAAACATTAAAATGTATTATGTAAGTCTCGATGAAATTATCTCAATAAATGTTGACTCCGAAGGTCACTTTTTCGAAACCGTATAGAGCGTACGTCTATTTGGTCTCTATGAACGCCCCCAATAAACGCACGCAAACGTGGCGCCATCTCAGTACTACTATCCCCAGATAAACCGTGACTATGGCTGGTTTCCAGCCATAAAGATCGGTCACTTATTTTGGTAAATTTTGACTAATTTTGAAGTTCAGAGCAATCTACAACATCGAGAACTAAACTACAGGGGGTTTCAGCCTTAACAAAATAAAAGTTAAAACGCTCCCCCCCCCCCCCCCCCCCCCCCCTCTGCTGAAAGCCATAAGCACAACCAAAGCCACAGGGAACATCTGCTACAAGCCCTTTTTTTATGATGATTTTAGGGTTAAGGTCGATGAAATACGTACTCTTCAAAGTGCGCTAGAAGCATGCCTGATGTTCATTAAGCTGTCGTGCTTTCACAATTTTATAGTGGTCTTTTAAATGACTACGTACGGCAAACATATCTGTGAAGCCTATATTCACAGAAGCCAGTATCGAAATCGATGTGTGGCAACATCCTAGTAAGGTATTTTGTAACAACTCGGTAGTTTTATTTTTCGATGTTTGTAAATGTTGTATTTCCCTTTAACAAAGCTGATTGGACATCTTTATCAATATCTGTGTGTTTCATTTCCGCGGGTTTTTTTTTTCGGGGGGGGGGGGCTAGCCTTTAGTTTCAGTCCTCAGATGTAAAGGTACAGAATAAGCCTCTGATGACGTCACACATTGTTAACGGTTTACTTTTATGGAAGCCTGGTGGGGACAAAGGTTCCGTTGCCACATGCCAAAAAGTCTCGTTCCCTGACCTGACAATTTTGTCCTGACGTCTGAAAATCAACAAGATGGTCCTTTTTCAAAGCTCGGCTTCATTTCCACTTTGGATTTACCATTAAAAGCTTTTAATTTTCCGATCAAATTAAAAACAAACACACCATTTGCTTTATATATCATGTGATCTGATATTCCTGTAAGTAAACATGTAGTAATGTTTGGCTGGAATTGGCAAGTTAGGAACCAAAATTGTAGGCAAATCTTTTTGTATGGATACTGATTGTGGGGCGGGAACCAGTCTCCCAAGCAAAAACGTAATACGTGTAAGTGTAATTCACTAAATAAACATGTGCCGATATTGTCGGTCGATGTCTCTTTCAAAAGTGAATAACTTTTGAATGAAACTTTCACAGAAAAGAATGTTTTGCGATAAAACTCCAAAATAGCTCGGAGAATTATCTTCCATGTTCTCTGTGGCATTTCTATGCCATACCGGTATCAGTGTTGAATCAGGCGTTTTAAACTTAAAAAAAAGCAAAGTGCGGAATATACTACTAGAACATTGAAGACGACTTTTGAGGTCCTTATCTGTGGTTTTTATAAATGCATGTGCTTAGCGAATGGCCTACGTGCCTAAGGGGTAGCAGTTATTGAAGAAAAACAATATGAAGTACATACAATTTCAGCATCAGGTCAATCAAATAACCTCTCTTCAGAGTAAGGCGAAATAGAAATAGAAATAGACTGAACTTTGGTCAAAAGCTCTCGGGCTTTGACATTTTATTGTCGTCTGAGCGACTCCAAGCAGAAAAAAAATCTTTGCGGCTGTGCACGAAAGCCATTGGCAAGTAACCAATTACAATATCAAAATTGACGTGTGGCGAGATGAGAAACAATATTCATTTTTTGTTTGGCCTACAGTTCGTTGGTCCCATTTACGATCAAAGATGACTGAGGTGGCCATTAATTACAACGCTGACCTTGACTTTTACACTGCCGTTGAGCGATCAGTTTAGGCGCTCACCATTACCGAGTTTTATAGTAGGTTCAGCTAGATATGGCCGTCTCAAAAGCTGGAGTTTTGTCCTTCATTCTGCCAGTTTTCTTGGCAGGTTTAGTCACCCGTCCTCTGATCATTAAAGATTACGCGAAGCAGCTCGCTAATCACGTCCAGAATGCCAACATTTCGGTTGAGGTTGTGTCTGAGAAAATCAACCAAGTCGTCCACAGTTCTGACTTCAAGTTTGTTCTTGTCTACGGACTTGCTGCCGTGCTGACTTATTTGGCTGTTCAGCTGTACAAGGCGGTGACTGAGCCCTTGGCACTCTACTGCGACGAGACCAAATATACGTATTTAGTGGACGGCCCAGCCGACGGGAAATCGGCTGAGGAACGAGTGCGGGATTTGAAGAGATGTCGGAAGGTTGGAGACGTTCCCCCTGTTTACCCGAATGGCTGGATGTCTATCCTGATGTCGTCTGAATTGAAGAAGAAGGAGCACAAATTCGTTGCCGTTGCTGGTAGGCCAACTGAAAAACTAACCTAAGTTGAAATAAATGAATTATATGGAGACTCACCCCACGCAAAACCAAGTGATTCCACAACGTCAAGCAAGGTATACACTTTTCATTATTATTGGCCATTTAAGTACCGGCTCCCTCTCATTTTCTAGGTAAGAACTTGGTGGTATTCCGAGGAGAAAGTGGGCGGCCCTACGTCGTTGACGCCTACTGTGCTCATCTAGGCGCCAATCTGGCCATAGGTGGCTCAGTGCACGGTGAATGTATCGAATGTCCCTTCCATGGCTGGAGTTACCGGGGAGAAGACGGCAAGTGCGTCCATATTGGATACGCTGAAAAAGGTGTATAATTAACAAAGCTTGTTAGCATGAAATTTATCAATGCAAACATTGTGCGAAGTATCCAATGCCAACTTAATTTTAACTTAGGGGTTCATTTAAAGGGTAATCACCCAACACACTGAGATTTGTTTAATTTTTTTTATTGCCGGAACATAATCAAACTTATCTAATACATAGAACGGGTCAAATGGGAAAATATGGGAATTTTGCTACATAAAGCGACTTTGGGTCGGGTTGCGGGCTGCGTTGAGTGGTTCGGGACGTATAGGACGGTGAATGGAATAGGTCCCTTTCAAATGACGTTGTGTTTGGTTGGGTCGGGTTGAGTTTGGTTTGGTTGGGTCGGGTTGGGTTGTGTTTGGTTGGGTTGGCCGGTTGGGATGAAACAGGTTTGGATGAGATGGGCTACAATGTGTTAGGTCTGGTTTGGTTGGGTTGTGCTTTAGTTGGGTTGAATAGGCTGTGTTGGTTCGATCAGGTTGGGCTTGGTCTGGTTGGGTTGGGTTTAGGATTTGTTGGTTTGCTTAGGTTGGATTGGGTCTGGTTGGGTCGGGTTATATGCTGTGTTGGGTCGGGGTAGGTTTGGTTTGGTTGAGTTGGGTTGGGTTGTTCGGGGTGCTGGGGTTAAAATTCATTGCGAGCAAAATATTTTTCTCTGTTTTTCTTTAACTACGCGAATACAAAGGAAAATCCACACTGGGTATAGAAGGTTGTGTGCGTGAGTTTGAGTTGGGCTTGAGTTGGGTTGGTTTAGGCTGTGTTGGGTTTGGTTGGGTTGGGCCTGGTTGGGTTGGGCTACACTGTATTAGGTCTGGTTTGGTTGAGTTGGGCTTGAGTTGGGTTGGGCTACATTGTATTAGGTCTGGTTTGGTTGAGTTGGGCTTGAGTTGGGTTGAATAGGCTGTGTTGGTTTGGTTTGGTTAGGTTGGGCTTGGTCTGATTGGGTTGGGTTAGGTCTGGTTGGTTTGGGTTAGGCTGAGTTGGATTGGGGTAGGTTTGGTTGGGAAGGATTGGGCTTGGTAGTTTTGGTTTGGTCTGGTTGGAGTAGGGCTGGTTTGGGATAGGCTGTGTTGGGTCGGGGTAGGTTGGGTCGGGGAAGGGTTGAGTTGGGTTGGTTTGGTTTGTTAGGTTTGGTCTGGTTGGAGTAGGGCTGGGTCGGGATAGGCTGTGTTGATTGGGTTGGATTTAATTCCGCCCAGTTGGTTTGGTTTGGTTGAGTTGGGTTGAGTTCTTTGGAATGTTGAGTTAAATATTCCTATACAATATTCCTGTAGTTAGAATACATGTAGATTTTTTTCAAAACATTGTATTTCCATTTTTTTTTTTTAAAGAGAAACATTTCAACGATTATGAAACTTTAAATAATATATTATGACAGCCGTTTCTAAACTTCACCTTTCGCTTTATTAATTGAGCAAGTTGTGTTAAACTACATAAAAGCTGTCAAAAGTGACTTTGGACAGCCAGGAGAGGGTGTGGATTTCTAAAAGGTAAAATGGCATTTATCGTCTTTTGGAAAAAACTCTTCACATCGAAAGTCAAGATGTAACACTGACACATCAGTAAAAGTGCTATCAAATCCCGACAGTACCCGACTTTGTGAAGATCCCCACCTACCAGTCCTGCGAAGTCAATCACAGAATCTGGCTGTGGTACCATGCTGAAGGCAAGGAGCCCGACTGGCAAGTCCCGGAGCTCGAACATCTAACTAATGGGAAACTTCAACCTGTTGGCTTCACGGTTTGCGAACTCGACAGCCATAACGAGGTTAGTCCTTCAGTCTAAATGAACAATAAGACATTAGTCACAGCCTTTATTTCGGCCTGATGTCATTTGGGAAAGACTGATTACAGATGTTAAAGTCGATGACACTGCTGGTAACTCATTGATGTGCACACTGTTTATCGATTGATATTTTTTGTAAGCAAAAAAGTCTTGAGCTTTTCTTTATGTTTCTGCCACGTTCATGTTAGACAGTTATACAGGGTTTGTACATTATTCTTCGCTTAGAAATTGCCAACTCGTTTTCTTCTTTCTCTTCATCAGGACACCCCTGAAAACGGAGCTGATGTCGCCCATCTAGATTACCTTCACGGGCCGTGAGTTCATTAAGGAAAGAGATTATTATTTTCACGTTACTTTGCCGTTGCACAAAGAAACCTAATTTCTTCTTCGCTTACTGTGTGAGTCCACAAACAAGTTTTTTTTTGGAAATATGTGGCTCGCTCCATTAAAAAAAAATAGCATAGGAATAAAGTATCTGACGTTATTACATGTACAAGGCTGCCGGCCCAAATCTGTCGAGACGTTGCATGTTCTTTTTATATACGGATCTGGGAAGAGGAATTTATTCCCACTGATGTTCGTGACGCCTTGATTGTCACTATATTCCAGAAAGGTGAGAAGACGAACTTTTGAAACTATCGAGGTATCTCTCTGCTCTAGCTGGAAAGATCCTCGCACGCATTCTTGCATGCCACCTCACTCCATTGCTGAAGGGGTCATCCCAGAGTCGCAATGTGGTTCAAGAAGTGAGAAATCAGACATTTTCCAGTTAGTGAATTTGCTGATATCAGTGTCTGAGGACAGTAGTCCAGGCACCAGTCGTTTAAGACGAGCCCAAACGGCAGAGACAAGGAAACTGGTTACGATTATCTTTGAATGGGGAGGAGTGGATTAACACGCGAAGTCGAGAGACCTCGCTCCTTTGACAAAACTTCCAAAACTAAAAAAACAACTAACCAAAAGTTACAGTCATGTATCCCTTTTCCTAACAGGAGGGCTTTCGTTGGTCAGGCCCACTTTACCGACGTCAGCTGGGAGCCACACCCTACCGAAAAGCATGTGGCTTTACTTCGTATGTCCACCAAACCCCCGTATTTTTTTGGTCTGCTCAATCTGCCGGCAAACACCGTCCAAATTGAGCAGGTATGGGTAGAATAGATGAATATGCCACATCATGCTCATTTTAAACCCATCCTGAGGTCGGGGATATAGGGTTTTTATAAACACAAAAGTTAAAAAGGGGTACGATTAGCACATGTATAAGCTAACTGCTGTACAATAAGCCAAATGTCGACATCCACGAATTCAATGACGCATTCGTGGATTACAATGGACCCATCAGAATGTCATCCATTGGTGCAAATTCGATACTTATTATTATACACGTTAACCCTAAAAGGGCCGGGCTATTTTGACCATCTCTCAGCCGGGTTCTGCCGCCCCCCCCCCCCCCCAAGACCTCGGCCGTCGAGCGACAACATTTTTTGAAACCTCGGTACATGCATAGAACAACTTATCATGAACATACCCAATAAATTTCATGACTATAGGTCAAAGAGTTTTGGAGTTATGGCTTATTAATTGCTCATATGCACGAATGGTAATTCTGCTCTGTGCACACTACGTAAATTGGGAAATTCAGTTTTTACGGTTTTTGGGTACTTGGTCTTTGGTCCGATTTTTATGTTTTCGGTATCAAAAGATGCGCAAGACTCGAGGCTCAAAAGTATTGTTTTCAAGACTATCTCGGAAAAAGTTGAGGGGCAGATTCCTTCCCCAGCCCCTATAGGGTAATTAAATTGGAAACAGGTATATAATCCTGTTTCGCCTGACGATTGATCATGACAGATAGGACCCTGCTTCGCCACTTTACACCTGGACAGTCCCGTACTGGGTGAGCTTCAACTGATAATATCCGTCACTCCTGTTGGCCCCATGCGACAGAGGATTGTGACCACTGGGTATACCCGGAGAGGACCCATCTCATTCTACATTGGCAAGAAGGCCTTGTATGAACAGTACTACCAGGTAAGAATTCCGCCTTCCCCAGCCGAGCCCATGGCCACTCCTCCTCCTCAGCCATGTCAGCCCGTACTGTCATTCTCTCTAATTCCCAAATTGAAATTAGGGACTAGACGTTTAAGAGTGAAAATCACTTTCATTTTCGATTGACATAGTCTGACAAAATGGACCACTTCAGACGAAGCTTGAGTGAAACCTCGATCTTTATGTGGTGGTCTACCCTACTCTTATTCTAGGGTTGGGGTACGTCCATATACTTAAACACGGATGAATCAAAACAAACCCCTAGGGTCAGTCCAGCCTAAATGTTCCTTGATGTCTCATGTACATGGAGTGGCGACTGTACATTTTCCTGGAACTTTAATCGCCAAAAAATGTACTATTTCGTTCCATTTTATGATGGCATGGTTGTCACTCCCGAGCCCCTGGCATTGGCGTATTCTCATGCATGTGTCCGAATTTCTCATCGTCCAATCTACGCAAAATTAATTCTCATAGAGGGAAAGTCCGTCCGCACGCAATAGCAGTGTCATAGTCCCTATCATATCGGGACTCCCACATTTACGATTGAAGAAAATTCACTCTAAAACGTCTAGTCCCTAGTTTCCGACTGTGGGAGTGAATCTTCACTGTCACTCTTTAGAATTTAGAGAGTTCACTTCCCGTAGGCCTACTGTCGTGTCTGCCCTACCCATGGGCGTCGCGAGGGGGGGGGGCAAGGGGGGGCACTGCCCCCCCCCCCCCCCCCTGGAAAAGCAAAAAAAAAAAAAAAAAAAAAAAAAAAGGAAGAAAAAAAAGGGAAAAAAAGAAAAGAAAAGGAGGCGCGAAGACAAAGTGGTGTAAATTTAATGAGTTGGGGGGGGGGGGGGCAAAATGTCCCTGCCCCCCTCTAAAACTGATAAATCGAGAAAGTGTTGAGAAATACAAGCATTTTTTGGCAAAAAATTTGTTTGCCCCCCTCTACAAAAAATCCTGGCGACGCCCATGGCCCTACCACCTGATTACCATACATACACGGATCACCACGTCTCATTTTTGGGGAGATCATTGACCCATTGGTATGTGTTCCTTTGGAAACAGCATTGTGGAGCCACATTGATCCACTCTCGCTTCTTGTCAAAGTCAAAGGAATCATGACCGCAGAGTAAAAAACAAATGATGGAATCAACCCAAGACTTTTACAAAATATCTAAGAAAAAAAGTTCCAAGCATAACATGAATCAGATACATGTACATGCATTAAAGACGACTCATAAACAAGGCCCAATCCGGACCTCATAGGGAATGGGACCGCCTCCTATAGAGCTTTATCATGCTGCCACCATTTCAGTCATGTTCCCAGTATCCACTAACAGTACTGAATGATAATGTTTTCTGTGCAAACAGGAACCAGACTTTTTTCCCTTCCAGCCTCGCTTTACGTTGATTTGAATGGAAAAAAAATCTAGATGGCCGCAACATGATAATGGTCTATCGGGCTACCCTATATGCTGCCTGTTAATCTGCCCAAATCAGCCTTGCTTCGCCATCCCCACTATACCTGTTACCCAGTCCGTAGGCCTTTCTCATCAAGTACTTCCTGCCTCAAAATATAGTAATATGATTTCCTCTACTAGATTTGGGGTGACCTTCCGGTGTGGGCCAACAAGAAGTACGTTCGTAACCCCCCGTTTGTGAAGGAAGATCATCTGATAGCGAAACATCGCCGATTCTTCGCCCAGTTCTACTCCGAGAACAGCCCCAAGTACGACCCGAAAGACGAATCTATGGATTGGTAAAATTACCGTCTAAGGTTAAAAAGAGAGTCGCTCAACTGAAGGGGTCACTTTTACAAATTTAATATGTGTGCCTACTAGTGTAGCGGTCTAGATTATTTGAATTATTTCCTCTTGTTCGCTTTTTTTATTCAGATAAACTATAAACATTAAGCAATTGTCATGAAGAGAAATTGTAAGTGTAGTAATTGCCACATACGATTTGATATCGTGAGTGTAATTGCTTCTTTATAATGTACTACACTTTATCAGAAAGAATCCACACAATTTTTCACAAACATGGATGACGAGGCGTTAATTTTATTTTATTTTGTAAATGCAATTACCCTTTCGCTTGCCAAAACATATACGTAATCTTAGATAATCACTATACTAATTTCGGTTATTTTCTAATGTCGCATATTTCACAATTTAAGCGGAACTGCCTGAAAACCATAATAAACATTCAGTTGAAACGATTTTGCTGCTGTTTCTTTGTAGACCCCCGCCCATCAATTTAGTGATGCCCTTAGATCCCTCAGCACTCGTCAATAGCATGTCCACCCCCTCCAAGCTGCGTGATGTTCTTGTATAGGAGCTTATCAGCTATGTCAATCAAGATTAAGATGACCGTAGTTAGTTCACCGAAACATTTGACCGAACTCCCAAAATTTCTAACATGGTCGTATGAGAATACATATCCTGTTTATCTCCAAAAATTCAACTTTCAAAACAATTGCGCTTGTCGTTGTGGACGTTTAAATGGAATTAAGTAAAGTACGACATGTTAAGTCCGATATACAGTCCATGCAGACAGTCAACGTACATCACACCAGACAATTCAGGGATTTATATACATCCGTACTGCTCAAGCTACAAAGTTAATCGTCTACCAGGACCCCAAATTCTTGAATTAATTAAAACATACTCTTAAAGAAGTGTCCGCAGTCGGCCTTCATTTAAGAAACAGCTGGAGCTCCTTCACATCAAAGTAGTTCTCAAACTCCGTCCAACCCGTCCAAAAAAAATCGTAAAACGGGCTGTGGTCAGGGTAGAACGTGTAACTTTGGCCAAATAAAATACGATACTGTTCGTTCATAAACAGCACTCAATATGTCTATCTCGTCTTTATCGGGTGGCACGGGTGGCTTGTGCGTAAAGCGCTCGCCTCTCACCAAGGTGACCACGGTTCGAATCCTGGCCGCGGATCGCATGTGAGTAGAGTTGTGCGTTGGTTCTCTCCTGTGCCACGAGGGTTTTTCTCCGGGCCCTCCGGTTTTCCTCCCTCCGGAAAAATCAAACACTTTCGATCTCAGGCTGTGCTCCGTGGTCTTATATGGGTCGATGTGGCCGGCAGCCAGAGGCGCCTTTACGTGCCAGCGGCCCGACCACGTTGTAGCCGCGTCCTTCGCAATTCAGCATCCCAGCTGCGAGTAAGGATGATTAGCCTCCCAAATTATTATTAATTATTATTATTATCCCGTCCACAGTCCGTTGGTATCAAGTTCAGATCGGGTAAAATTGCCCGTTCACCTCATGCTGAAAACGTTTTCAAGCAGTCCAAGTCCCTCCATAGTCAGTTTAAACCCGAAGGCTGAACTGGTTCTACCTCGTTCCCAATACGCCCAAACCCATTCCAACTAGTTCTTTCGCTCGTACCCCCTTCACAGAATCTTGTGAAGGAAGTGGCCTATGACCTATGTATAAGAATCTGGATGCAGCTGTTCAAGACCGTAGTTAGACAATGTGCGCAAATGCTATCCGAGAACGTTCTATAGAATTGCGCACATTCCATACCGGATGTGATTTCTGTTTCATTGCGGACCATGTGAACAAAATTTTGAGCGTCGCATAATGCAACCCGACCGTTCGTGATTCGAAACGGAGCCTGGGCGAGTGACGGGAATTGTAAATTTTCAACACAGATGAGTTTTACAGACTTTCCTACATTATTACGCTTTTCAACGAGAAAAAAACATCTCTAAACTGGAATAAAGAGTAATGAATCAGTCTTAATGGCCGTTTCAAACCTTGCAGAGTCATGACCTTGATGACGGGCAGGTCACTGGTCACGCAAAATCCAACCAATCAGAGCGTGAATTCATCAGGTACGAGCGAAGTTCTTAACTCGACCACTTCGTTCCCAGACAGTTCACCTTGTTCTCACCACGTCCTCATCTCGTCCCAATTGCGTGCGGAACGTAATTGCAATCGTATGAAGCCCGGGAAGGGACAGGGTGGATTTTTTTTTTTTTTTTGGAGTTTGCTAATTCGTTCCCACGAATTACTAATTCGTTGAACGAATTAGTAATTCGTGCGAACGAATTAGCAAACTCCAAAAAAAAAAAATTCCACCCTGTCCCTTCCCGGGCTTCATACAATCGCGTCCTGGCCCGACTGCTATAAATACCCAGCGTGTCGTTGCCAGTGCAGTCCACATTCGAGTTCACCGCTTCAAGATGTAAACATGCACACGTTATTGATGCCCAACTGCGCCACGTCGTAACACGTCCCTACTAGTAGGATCGAAGTACATGTACGGCAATTCCGTTTGCAGTACGTCTATCTCGTTTTGAGTACTTTGTCACTCCGTCTAATTGCAGAACGATATGGCCGCCAGAAAATGTTGACCAAGCTCGAAGTTCTGGAGCACCCTTCCCGTCCGAGCCCGTTCATGAAGTTCGTAAAAGACCGTAATAAGTTGCTACTACGTCCACTCCGTTGGCACACAGTGCGGCCCGTTCGGCAACATTTTTCAGACCTAGTTTGGTGTGATGGGGGTATAAATGTCTGCTATTGGAAAAATACTAGGCCTAATATATATATACTATTATTCTTTACTATTTTTATTTGCTATGTATATATTCTCTATTTTAATGGTATCCCGTGTAGGCTCTACTCCTATCTGTAGGCACTTCAGCCACACAAGCACTTCCGCTGCCGAAATCTGTGCTCCCATACCTTTACACGCATAGCGCACACATCGCCGTACAAATCCTATGGCATCCGCTACTTCCGGCCAACACACAGTCCGTGGCACGCACTTTCGGCCACTTCGCAAACTCGGGTTTTTAGATCGGTCGCATTCGGTCGAAATTCGCTAGTTTCCTATTGGCCCAATCCCTTAGAATACGTCATCATCGGAGAGAAGAAGACCTTCGGCATCTTTCGGCTTTAGTGCTTGAAAATCGATCAATGGCTTCCACTTGATCGCCAAGTTTACATTTTTCCGACCGTCAAAATTCACATTTTGAGAGGACGAATCGTGAAGCACTAAGGTATGTATAATGAGTGTTTACTATAGATTTAGAAAATCAAAATATAAATGTCATATGATGGAGGGATTTTAAGCGAAACGCCGTTCTTTGAGGGGTGGTTTTCGGGGTCTGAGCAAACACCGCAACGCGGCAGCGACCGTGCACAGTGCACCGACCACGCCGCACGGAAGCTTCATTCTGCGGCGCGTGTTGTGTGTGTGTGTGCGCACGTGGTCATGTCAGCCGCATGCGTGCCGTCCGGAAAATTGCAACAGTTTTTTAACGCCAAAAACCATGCGTTCAATCGGGTTTCTACTTAAAAGATGATTTTCTCATGACTGTACATTAATGTACTGTTATTGGTTGACTGTAATTCTTGATTTAATTTCGATATTTTCGCTTTTTTTACAGTTTAAAAATTACTCTGCTCTCGTTACTTTCGTTGTTCGTTTTCGCTCACGATGGCCGATACCATTCCTTGAATGGGGGCGTTTCAGAGTTATTTTTTTTTGTAGACGTTTCGTGATGGAATATTTTCCGATGATTACCAGTAAATGGATATCACAAATCAATTTAATAACAATCAAACAACCTGTAAAGTTTTTGAACAAAAACCTTTCATAATTAAACGTAATTGGCACGTAGATTATTATAAAAACAATTTAACCGAAATGTCCACCCCCGTTTAGAAATGGACGTTCCAATATAAGCTGTGTGAGCTGGGTGAATGAAGATTGTGCGATTCTGACAAAGTTTATTCCGAGCTTCAATTTTTTTCATGAATTGAAATGATACCTTCATTTACAGTAAATAATAATTAGTTTTGAAGCATTTCTAAGTTTGTTTGCGTGAAAGTTTTGGCATTGATTGAAATTAATTTTCCAGGCATATTTCAGTACACAAAATTTTCAAAACTTGACCACTGACTGAGTCATTCATTTTTATTGAAAATAAAATCATGGACTCAGTACTTAAGTAACATAACAAATATTGTGTTTATAACTTGTTTGGACGTTTTGTTAATATTTATTTTTTGATTTCTTTTTCTTCGTTCGTAGATTTTGCCACTGCACTGATTTTATGACCGTACGCAGAAGTCACTACAGATCTGTTCGTGGGTAAACTTCATCAATTTCTCAGTCCACGATTCATCTTCCATGGATAGCAAAGGCGATGAACCAGACTTTGGACGACAGGAAACGAATCATATGTCTACTCCATTAATTATAGGGATGAAGAAGAGGAGTGGGATTTTCCACTTTTGACAGATCTAAAGAAAAAGGAACTTATCATACTGGACACTCTGTAATTGTTAAAGTTCAACAGTTAGGCCTTTTGTTGTGGATGGAGCTTCAGTAATGAAGTAAAGAAGTGGCGACTTAAAGAAAACACAATTTTCAGTTCATCAGGGGTACTGGGAAAGGAAAATAATTTTTAGTTAGAATCAAATTGATTATTGTTTGACTTCACTTTTAGTTATGGAGTTTGCCCATCAATACTCCGCCACAATAGGCATTTTGCACATACCATTACATTTTCCCCCTTTTCTGAATCAATTTGTATGGTATTAGGTGTTGATTGTATTAGTTGATTAACAAATTAGTTGAGGCTTTTTGGAAGACTTCATGCGTTTTCATTCCTCAAAATCATTTTACAAAAGATGAGTTCCGTTTGAATTGGCAGTGTGAGCCATTTACCACTGTTTGTCCAAAATCAAAACAACCATAACAGTTAGAGTTGTGTGTACAAGTGTATTTAGAAGACTAATTAAATATGCAAGATGTGTAATTATGCTAATATTTCACAGCTAGTAAAGATACCCTATATATTTTCAGTGAATAACCCAAAACTGATTCAAGTAAGAAAAACCTCTTCTGCATACTTGTTACACGTCTTTTCCCAGAAAAGATGTGAAATTGGTTATTTTCACATACATGTACCTGTAAATATGCAAATTAAATCATTAAAAAAATGAGTCAGGTTTTAACACCTCTATCTGAGCAACTATTTGTTACAACACTGTTTGCATGCATGTGTATTATAGGTTTTTTGAGCAAATTTAGGTTCGGAAATGTTTTTCTCCTCATTTTCACATAATTAGCTGATAAATTATGCAAATTTGGTAATTATGTACAAATTATAGATCTAGTTGCTTTCCCTACAGCCAAAATTTAAATACTTGTTTGAAATATCATTGCGATATTTGTTTTGACTTGAATTTTTTATGTTGACACTAAAATATGCATAATTTTCCTCTAATTAGTAAATTAATTATGCAAATTAGGACAGTATTATTAATTTTTTTTGCACTTTTCAAAAGCATATTTTCATAATAAAGAGTAAACGAAATATCAAGCAAATCTGATACTATATTACAAGGATAAAAGAAAGAACAGCATTCGTCTTATTATCTTTTCGGTGCCAAAACAGAAATAAAGAAAAACAAAGGATGACCTTTGACCTCTTGGCTAAAAAAATCCCTCACTTTCTGAAACTTAATTACCCGTAACTCCCTAACGCAATGACCGATTTTAAAAATTCCAAAAGATTTCTTCTAATGAAGACTCACTCTTTCAAATGGTATTCATTTTAGGTGTTTGTCCCTTTCATTAAAGAATCACCTGAACTGCCTACTATCTGTACTTGATTTGTTTTTGTCTTGTCCTGTAGTAGTCCCCTGCATGTGCGCATTTCGTGCCACTTCAAGTTTTCGTCATGAGCAGGAACTAATGCAGTTAGCATTTACCATGATATATAGTGTTTTTTTCTACACATAATGGGCATCTCCACTCCACATCTCCAGCTTGCTTAATAAGTGAAAAAGATGATCAGGAGATTTGCAAAACATGTTCATGCCCGAAAAACAGATGCAATTTGCTCGTGACCGCGGTTTGAATTGTTTCTTGAAATAAAATGAACCTGTAATTATAAAGGGAATGTACATCATTGGCTTTTGCTGTAATATTCAGAAATGAACTAATTGAGGGGTTAGTATAATAGATCAAATATTGTTACACTGACATGTTTGAGGTTTTATGTTCGAAAATGCTGGAAAAACCAAGAAAAACAAAAATGTTCAATAAGTCTGGTTCCCTGACTCCACTAAAGATGAAATGAATCAATTTATAGATGTCGGAAAATTGTAAGGTACTGGGAGCCAGTCTAGCTGGCCTGCACCCGTTCATAAACATGTAACCAATAGCAAACAAAATTTGAAATGAAAAAAATTGGTAAATTTGGAGCAGTAGTTGAAAAATAGTTAGGTTTTTCCAACGGTGGTTGGCCGCCGACCACGGTTGGAAATTAATACAAAAATACAACTTTTCTTGAAATTGACTTCACACCAGGTGCCATAATTTTGCAGGATGCTTTAAACTGTCATTTACCAACATCCTAGTAAGGTATTTCGTAAAAATTTGGTAGTTTTTCGATATTTACATATGTTGTATATTCTCCGTGTGGGAGTATAAAGAACTGTTAATTCAGACGAAATACCAAATTTAAAAAGACGAAAATGTCAAAGTGTGAATCAGCAAGAAATAAAACGAGATTGCGTTATTTTCTCGAGTGCTGTAATTTTTATTTTTATGGTGGTTATTATTCATTTTTGGTTTTGTTTCGTTTGAGGATGTCGAAATTTACTCGGAAAACAAATAAAAATGGGAAGTCTGTGGTGATGCAATACGTGCGCATTAATGACCACAAGAAGGGGAGAAAAACATGTTTTTTTTTTTTTTGACTGCCAGTTTGTATTTATTTTAATCTATTCACCACGTTTACAGAAAGGCCTAGAGGGGGTTGACTCAATAGCTGGTGGTAAATTCCCAGAAGGGTTGCGCAATATAAAGGGGGAAATTCCCTGTCGTCATAGCGCGAGCCTTGATCCGTAGTCTTGGTTCATGACGGCTTGCTATTTTTATACATGAGAAAGTCTGCAAGAGGGCGCTAGCACCAGAAAGTAAACTCTAGTTAGCATATCAGATTTGGCGAGCTGCGTATAAAAACTGTTGTGCTAAAGCGCTTGTGCATCTGGAAACAAGAATAGCGTGGTAAAGGGTTGCAGACAATACACTCGGCACTTTTGCGGTAAAGGTTCGAAACTACATGCTATTGCTAGAGTCCAAATCGTGATCCTTCTGGCTGTGCTAGTGCTACGGGTAAATTCGCACGAACTGAATTATCCTACTCTGGCTTATTTTTGTTGGCAGTGACTCTGTACATGCTGTACTCAGGTACGTAACGTTTAGTCGTTAAGTCGTAAGCAACGTGATTTTACTTGCATTGCCTTGATGGCATGGCAATAGTGTTAAAGGGGCACTCGGTCTTGAAATCCCCGAAAATGTCATGTTTTGGATTGTTTACTTATCCTATTTCAAACATCTGGTTTAAAGGAGGGAAAATTCGGCTAACCGATCACCACTTACCTGCCGCCAAACATCCAAATTTTCACCTCACCTTGTGATTTCAACCAAGAGGAATCCAGGAAACAGTGGACATGCGAAAAAAAATTAGTAAAAATGTGTTTTTAGAGCACATTTTGCATGCACATGTAGTGCAGATCTGAGTTGAAGCAGCCGGTCAAAACTGATTGAAGTGTCTGGAACAGTGGTACCCACTGGTACGTTATACGCATGACATCGATAACCATGACGTCGCATGAGCCGGCCAATGATAGTGCAAGACGTCATTATGAATATTTATTTTCTCATGAATATTTAGTTTATTTCAATGGATACTTCAAATATGTCCAAAGATTGATCATTGCAACAGCGATCGTGCGCGGCCTAGCGGTTAAGAGTCTCGTGTATCAAGCAAGCGTCCGAGGTTCGAATCTCGATGAAGTGAGTGACTGATTGATAAATAGAAATTAAGGAAAGGAGAGGGTGAGAGTAGAGGAGGGAAAGTGGAGGAATAACCATAAAAGATGTAACTTTTGGCGCTAGAAAATTAATTGAAAAAAGTGGTGATCGGGTAGCCGAATTTTTCCTCAACATGGTTTCTTCGACATGTTCGATGTCCGCAAAAGGCGTACACTTTACTGATGAAATCACAACTAGCACCCAAACAGCTCAACTTTTTGGGGTCGTAGCATGCAGTGGACCCGGAAAGTCGTTCTCGCACGCATAATACAGGAATAACACAAAAATGCCCAGGTTTTACATGTTTTAAAGGATAGTTGTGTGGATGTTTATATCTTCTTAATCTTAGTTCTTTCTGATAAACATCATTTCATTCAAAGTGCGTGTTGTTGAACGCAGTGTCTCTTTAAAGGTAGAGTCCATCATTTGTAATTTGTGCATTTTGTTCGTTTGAAGCAACAAAAGAGTTCAAAATCTAATGAAGAATACTGAGCAACTTACCTGATGAAGTTTCAGCTAAGCTTCAGCTGTACATTCCGAGAAAAACAGCATTCTAAGATCTCAATTTCAAATCAAAAGTTACTGAATCATGTTTTGAATTGCAACTATACGCGACGTCGCGCACTGATCCGACGAATTATAACAACCGCGCGCGCGTGTGCGTCTTTCGAATACTTGTGCGCGCTTCGCTGAATAACAAAACGAACTACCAATTTAAATTTTCCTACGGTGCTTCTTAAGAATCACCGTTGGAAATGCCTTCTTTCGTTGATTACTTCAAAATGACAGCTTCCCAGAAAGAATAATTTCACAGGGAGTTTAGTCTCCTTACTATCTTTCAACCAAGTTAGTTTTTCAACAATAATTACGCCAGTTACTTTTCGGATGGCTGCAAATAATGGACTATATAGCTTTAATTAATTACATGTGCTTTAATAATTTACAGGATATAACATCATGTAGGCCTACACATGTAGGCCTACACATACATGCATATCGGTAAGTGCGTGTACTGTGTAGTGCCTATTGCCAGTTAACACATCAATGTTCACTTCACCTTGTGATTTCAGTTTTTTTCACCTAAAAAGAAGAATCCAGAAAGCTCTGGAAATGTAACATTTTTCGGGAAAATGTGTTTTGGAAAGAATGTTGCAACCTGACACTACTTCAGCGGTTATGTACAAAGTCTATGGAGAGTCAAGAACATTTTTGTAGTATTTCCTAACAAAATTGGAAATGTTTTTCAGTCCCAGATTCACGTCTTATCATCATTTTTGCAATGACTGACCTTCATTGAGATGATAAATGTTGAGATTGGGTCCAACTGATTTTTAATGCACTGCATGCATAGCGCTACCTAGCGAGGATATCGTTTACCGCGCTACGGCCGGATGAATAACAACTACATGTAGCACCTTGACCAAGGCTACACCCGTACCCAATGATAGCTAGTGCAATACATCATCATGAATATTGAATTTTTCATGAATATTTAGTTTATTAAATATTCATTAGCCTTATACTTAAAAACAATTGATTGTCCCTTACTGGCAACGATCGTTCGACTAGTGTAGCAGATAAGGCTGGTGTGATTAAATAACAAGATTGCGCGTTCGAATCCCGGTGAAGTAAGTAACTGGTAAATAAAGAGGATTTGAGGAGGGTAGAGTGTGAGAGTTGAGGAGGGAAAACAGATCATGAAGGAGCCATAGAAAGCAACTTTTTTTGTTGCTTGAAAATTGATTGAAAAAGAAAGTGACGTACGTGTACGGAAGACTTTCCACATGTGTTTTTAATAGTAGGCCCTATACATTGTAGGCCAAGCACATATTTATTCCCATTCATACCTTTACGGTCACAAAATCAAAACATTTCAGAACAAGTAAAAAAATATATATATTTCAAACGATTTTGTTGAACAAGTTTTATACTTCTAGCTGTATGTCCCTCTCCATACTGTCCCAAGTAGGTTTTTACAACTCCAGTGTATGGAGATTGGCTCGCGCGTACTGCCATGACTTTTCCAAGACTTTTAAAACAGCATTTCGTTCAAAGCGAGTTTTGTAGCCCAATTGGGCTCATTCCAGGACGCAATGTCCCCATAAGGTACCCCTGAAGTAAGACTAATGAATATTTAATAAATTACATATTCATGATAAATTCGGGTGTCGGACGCTTCGCCCCATTTCCACGTCGCCCCATGTCACTTCGCCCCTAACCACTTCGCCCCATCCCCACATCGCCTCATCCCGGCATCGCCCCATCCCCGCATCGCCCCATCCCCACATCGCCCCATCCCCGCATCGCCCCATCCCCGCATCGCCCCATCCCCGCCTCGCCCCATCCCCGCCTCGCCCCATCCCCGCCTCGCCCCATCCCCGCCTCGCCCCATCCCCGCCTCGCCCCATCCCCGCCTCGCCCCATCCCCGCCTCGCCCCATCCCCGCCTCGCCCCATCCCCGCCTCGCCCCATCCCCGCCTCGCCCCATCCCCGCCTCGCCCCATCCCCGCCTCGCCCCATCCCCGCCTCGCCCCATCCCCGCCTCGCCCCATCCCCGCCTCGCCCCATCCCCGCCTCGCCCCATCCCCGCTTCGCCCCATCCCCGCTTCGCCCCATCCCCGCTTCGCCCCATCCCCACTTCGCCCCATCCCCACTTCGCCCTATGTAGATTGGTTCCTCCAAGAGTGAAATTAGGATGTCAAAGGTATTGTCGTTCTCAGATAAGTGGGAGACGGGTTGGTATAGCCGGGTTGGGAACAAAGTTGGATCTTTTACTTCAAGCTTTTTTTTCTCGGTAGGGGAGATCGATAGCTTGAGAGAGGTTGGTTATGAATTGTTGATTTGGTGGGCTAATTCTTTCCGTTGGTTAGCAATTAGTGAATCTGTTGGAATTGTTTTTAAGCCAATAAAATAGATGAGATTTTTTTTTTTCCATGTAACAGCTGGGGCGAAGTGGGGATGGGGCGAAGTGATAATGGGGCGAAGTGGGAATGGGGCGAAGTGGGGATGGGGCGAAGTGGGAATGGGGCGAAGTGGGGATGGGGCGATGTGGGGATGGGGCGAAGTGGGGATGGGGCGAAGTGGTTAGGGGCGAAGTGACATGGGGCGACGTGGAAATGGGGCGAAGTGTCCGACATTCATAAATTCAATATTCATGATGAGGTATCACATATTATTGGCTAGTGCGTTGTCACGCCCACTGCATACATGTATGTACATGTACATGTACTTCCAGACTTCAATGCTGCCTGCCTGATCAGCTGTTCGAACGATGTGTGCATCCAAAATGTGCTCTGAAAACAAATATTGCCTTAGATGTTTTCAGTTGTCCCGGGCCTTCATGGATTTGTCTTTAATGGTGAAAATTGTTGTTTTTTTGCGGCGAATAAGTGGTGGCAGGATACGGAGCTCTAGTTCCCGCATAATGTAGCAGGCCTGGTTCCCAATAAGGGCAGCCACAGCAGGTTTAAAAAACATTTTTTTTAATGCATGATTAATGTTCTAATGTAACTACAGGTACTGGTACTTGATTAAATAGCAATAGTGTGACATCACAGCTTTCCCATGGAAACAGCCACTCATGGCAAAATAGGGTATTTCCGTGGTTATGGCAAATAACCACTGCCTTCATAAATACTGTTTTGGTACGGGTAAATATCATTTTGATTAAAAAAACTTCTAATGTGTGTAAGGCCAAAAAAAAAAGTCTCCGGTTTCCGGTAGGAGCTTGCCCCAAAAGTGGTGCGGCGACGCGGCCTTTTTTTTTTTTTTTACCTGTTTTTTTTTTTGGGGGAGGGGGCTTCAAATGTCGGCTGATGACTGCAAATGGTGCCCGACTAAACTTAGTGCAAATATATGGGAGTCCAGAGAGGCCACATAAAGCTTATTCTCGATCATAACCCCATCTAAAAACATGTTAAAATTGTGCAGCAGCAGGATTCCAGTCAAACCAGTGAGTTTGGCGGTTTTGAGACATCATCTTGTATTGAAAAAAAAACTTTTTCATTTTGCCGACGCGCATGGCTACGGCGACGCGCGCGCATACCAGAAACCGGAGACTTTTTTTTTTTGGCCTTAGGCACTGTACACATGTTTTACGGTGTACATGTATATATGTATGTACATGTATACATGTACTTCACTACTTCAGCACGTAGCACGTAGCACATGTAGGAGTTCAGTTATCATATGGATGGCGTGTACTGTACTGCATGAATGCAGCGTGGACTCAGCCATCTACATGTACATTCTGGCACTACACAAACACCAGCTTTAATATTTACATTCAGAAATCTTGTTGGTTAATCAGTTAAAATTGATAACTCTTCCATCCTTTCTGTTTATAGATTTAAAGGGAAACCATATTGAGGATTGAGGTGCAGTGTTGAAATGAGTGCTACAAAACAACTCTCTCGTTCACAGAAGGCAATACCTCGCGTCTGAATATCACTGATGTTCATACACATGTACATGCATTACCTAACTTGGTGCGAACAACTACAACTAAGAACTAAACGATTAAAGGATCCCAATAAACATTTACAGGACTTACACAAGAACTTTGCCAAATATTTTCATAACTTACTGAAAGTTTCGTGCTTTGAATTAACGTGCATTGCAAGTCGTCTAAATGGCAAACTTATTAGATCCAAGTGTTACTCAAGTGCAATTGAACCCTCATCAACTATCACTCCTCTTCGCCCAACAAGCAACTGCGCAAGCTGCCCTAGACAGAAAGAGCGGAGCCTTCAAGAAACTGGTCGTGGAGGTTCAAACAAGCAAGCAGGATGCAGAACGTTACAAAGAACGGTCAAAGTACTTGGAACTGGACGTTGCTCGAACGGATGCTTACCTTGCAAAGGTACGACAGCAGTTCACTGAACAGCAGAGAAAGAACGCAGAACTGAACGCGGAATTGGCAAACTCTCGGAAGCGAGAGAAGATTTGTGCAAGATGTCATGGGAATGAGGATGAGAGGGGCGGAGTTACCAAGATTCAAGGGGGAGATCAGTCGTCATCTTATTCCAAGGAAGAACCTGGAAAGGCCCAGAAAGCTTCACAGAAGACCGGCGGAGATAAACATGAGGTTTGTATTTCATTGAAAAAGACAAAAATTGATATAATATTTGATTTTCTTTTGAATCTCAAGGAGTCCTTTTCCGAGTCCTACGTTTAGATAAAGGTGATTACCTTGAGAAACTGAACAAATGGGTCTAACTTTTTTGGGTTTTCATTATGGTTAGGAGTCTGAGTAGTGAGACAAAAAGAGATGTGATGCGATCAAGCTACACGAGTCGTTTGTCGACCCTGGTCAAATTTTTTACAGATTTGAAAAGAGCACAATCTCAGCATTACTGCTGTGAAAACTGCATGCTGATACCATTTGTAGTTCAACAATTATGGAAGTCGGAACACCAAGAGATGTGATGAAGTGATGTGATGAAGTGGCCCTATTTTGGCCTGTATCTCCAAATAAAATTCCTGACAAACGACTCATTTAGCTTGATCGCATCACATATGATGAAAACTGGGATGTACAGTTGAGTCAATCACAAGTCCATCACAAGTTATCCAGACCTCATTCAATCACAAGCTAGTCAAATTGTTACTGTTTTTGCACTGTTTCTTGTGACTGGGCTTGTGAAAGGGTTTGTGATTTACATGTGATGGACTCAATTTCATCCCTGGATGAAAAGTTACAAAGACTCAATTCTTACTTCTTTTGCAATTTAAGCACTGACGATTTCACTTGATAGGCCTAATGATCCCATTTGTGCTTTTACTTTGTGTTTACCATTTGCTATGAAACAAAACTTGGCGGCAACTTGTGCTTGCGACCATGGTGACTCGAACTAAAAACACTGCAAAATGTTAAGTGGCGTTGCTTTGTGCTCTGGGTTTGCTGGATTTCTCGCCTTTTTTTCGCGGTCTCCCCAAATGTAAAAATACATTTTAAAATGCCCGGTCTGGAAAAAACACATCAGTGCTGAGATTTGTTTTGAAAAGTTTTAGCAGTATGCTCCAGAGAAAGGCCGTGGAAAATTGGGAGTTATTTTCTTTGATTTATTTTTTTAATCAAGGTGTCATCTTTATGGTCTTTAATTTTTACATAAGATAATCAATATATCGAATATTCTCAATATTAGATTTCCGATATGTATCGATTATTGAAAATTCAGATATTGACGGTGCTTACATGTACTTTTGCATCACAGTGAGAGCTGCTTTGTTGCATAGCACCTCATATTTCAGCATCTTTGAAATCAGACTTGGAAAAAATACATGCATCAGTCTGACGCAGTCAGTTAGAAATTTCTATTTAGAACACGTCTTCAAGATGACATCAGTTGCTGGATTTTGCAATACACTTAAGAGTATTGATTACTCAGTCTGGGCAGAGCAATGGAATGTCCGTGGTCATTGCTGAATATAGACATGCAGTGCACTTGTACTTGGCACTCCCATTAGAATTCATTTCTAGGTGGGGGGAACCCCAGAACATTGTAAGTTCAGACATGCTAGTATGTTATTGCTCGCCAATTGAGGCAGACCTTGCTGAACGAGAAGGCTTGCCAACAAAAGTTCCTTGATCGATTTCTCTTGTTTTGAATTCTGTCATGTTTATTTTTGACTGTCATGGTTTTCATTAAGAACGGTTACTCATTTAGGTTGTGATTTCATTGTCCGCACAGTTGAGAAAGCTGGTTTTACTTTCTGTTCGTTAATCCATGCATGTTGCTTACTGAAGAAGGTTAAAACACAACCAGCATGAGCATGATTTTGTAACCGAGAAAATGGGTGTGAAATCATTCCAAAAGCAGAGCCATTAAAAAGAATGTATTTTTGCTGGGCACTGTTATCCGGAAACACTTTTTAGTTGGCCTAAGTAATTAATTACATACATGTACAAAACTATACATTGCACATGTATGCACATATAACGATATGTATAATATGAGCTTGTTTCTGCATTCAATATGGGATGTTGAACAATAGAGGACAATAGGGTCCCCAATTCCCGAAGGTCCCCAATCTCTGATCGTGTGCAAAACATATGGGAGGTCTTCCTAAAAAGTAAAAGTACAAACAAAAGAGGGACAATAGGGGGTCTCCGATTGCAGGTAAAAGGCCCTGTACACACTTGTGTGCGTACATGTATGCTTGAATTAATTTATGAATTTGTTTATTTGTGAATGCATTTTATGATCTGATTGGACTGTGTCAGGCCTCAAGTTGGAAACGCCTAAAACAGTAAAACCATTAAAAGAGCATAGCATTGGTTCTGAACTATGTATTTTCAGTTGGATGAAATGCTGACTCAACCAGTACGTTCACCATTATTAGTTTTGTCTAAAGTCAAGGTTTTTTTTTTTTACTGTGAATCTAAAAATGTGCGATTTTCCATATATTCTTTGTTAGGCCAAAAAAAAAAATATTCGGTCTCTGGTCAGACCAAAGTTCCGGAATTGACGCGGCCACGCGGCTTTTTTTTTTTTTTGGCTTTTTTTTCTTTTTTTTCAAGCTTGGATTGTACAGAAAAGGTGGGGTACTATTTTGCTTTTTTTGTGTCCTCGTGTACATTGGTGTCCTCCATAATTTGCCTTGGTGCTTTCGATCATTTGCCTTGGTGCAATTTCCCATTCCTTGGTGCTCTTTGGTAAAAAAAAAATGAGGAGGTGCGAAATAGAGGGCGCTGTTGGAGCTACCGCGGAACATTTTGGGAAAAAAAAGATCGATGCGCATGATTAAAATCGACGCGCGCGCTGACCAGAGACCGACTTATTTTTTTTTTTGGACTTACCCAAACCAACTTTGAAACCAAATAAGTATGACATGTTTTGATTAAAAATAATTACACGTAGTATAGCATGCTTTTTGTTGCAAATGTTGCAAGATGTTAAGGTTGTACAAGTTCATTTCATGGAGATGTCAAGGAGGAATTAATTACTGAGCAAATTTACTTTCTGAGCGCACATGTAAATCACACTGAGGAAGTGTGCATCACTATACATTGCAGTTTGGCTGGTAATAACCTGTTTTTTGCTAAGCATAATCTGTTCTCAGTAAATTCCTTCGCTTAGGAACCTCCACCCAAGTTATTTGCCATCTCCAACTCAACCTGATTTCTTTTTTTTATCACTGTATCCTGTTCTTCCAGTCATCCAGGCCAGCTGATGAGCAGCCTAGTAGCAGACTATTCCGGCCCAAGCCTGCTGTACCGTTCCAGCCCAAGCCTGGTGTATCATTCGAGCATCATGAGCTTTTCATTCACCAGATGATGCTGATGAAGCAAGAACTGACAAGACTAGCCAAGGAGAAAGGCCAAGATGTCGACAAAATCTTGGTGAGAAGTTGTGTTTTAGTCAGCAAATCCTGGGGCAAATATTCTGCTTTTGTGAATTACACTAAAAGAAGAAGAACAAGCTTGTCATTGGAGAGTTTCTGACAAAATTGCAAAAGTGACTTGTGGAAAGTGTCACTGAAGTAATCGTCTAATGAAATCCAGAAACATGCATGTGCTTATTGAAACCCTTAAAGTGTGGATGTCTTTACAAATGTACTTACACAAACCACAGGGAGCATGTACATGTTGCACACATAAAAAGGTACGTGCACAAGTACATGTACATTGTTATTTGCCTTGATATCTATTTTTAGATCAGGCAGAACTATATACCATTGTCAAAATGGGAATTTCCCTTAATACTACATGTATTTCGCAATCAGGGAAGCTTGGAAGTACAATAATGATTGATAGCCTTATTGTGCCAGCCTGTTGAACTGAAACTATGACCTCTCAAAACAAACAAACATGACAATGGAATTATGTAGAAACTAGAAATGTGTTTGTGGACAAACACAAGCTGTTTCGGATATTTGAAATACTCTGTGCACGTTATGAACACTTGATGAAGTCACTTCGAATGTCATCTGCCAAATGAAAAGTCAATCAGACATAATAGTGCCAGTATGATTTGAAGAAAAACGCGACAAACCCTAGGGGAAAAATGCATCTTTAATGTGAAGTAACCTTACACCCGATGATGTCACGATCACAAATTTCTTTTAGGACCATCTGTAGGTGGTAGTCGAAGTGTGTACCAAGTCTAATGTCGATCGGATTTACGAAAGTGCCAAAGTAGATTGTTTTAAAACGTGTGCAAACCCTATGGGGAAAAAATGCATCTTTAATGTGACGTAACCCAACACCAGATAACGTCACAATCACAAATTTCTTCTAGAACCATCTGTGGGTGGTGGTCTAAGTATGTATCAAGTCTGAGGTCGATCGGATGTACGAAGAGGCCAAAGTGGAGTGTTTTAAAACGTGTACAAAACATATGGGGAAAAATGCATCTTTAATGTGACGTAACCTGACACCTGATGAGGTCACGGTCACGAATTTCTTCTAGGACCATCTGTGGGTGGTGGTCTAAGTATGTATCAAGTCTGAAGTCAATCGGACTTGAAAAAGTGGCAAAGTGGACTGGTGGAAGAAACGTGTGTTAAACCTATGGAGAAAAAGTCTGAAAAAGGAGAAGAAAAAAAAAGAAAAAAAAAATCTTAACGAAAACAAGAGCTGTTTCGGTGTGTCACCGAAACAGCTAAAAACTAGTCACGCCTAGTGTGATGAATGGGAGCAATTGTGCGTTACAATGTAAATAATAGAGATAATCCTCTTTAAGTTCCTTATTGCCCAATCCTAGTTAGCAATCCTAGTGAGCATCTGGGAAATACCCTTACAACATCATCTGTCAAAATTGACCATTGTTAAAAAGGACCCAATTCAACATTTTTGTACCATTTGCAGCCGATTCACAAAGCAGTGTGTAACTTACACAATGTTCAAATGTATAAAATTGGCTCAACAATTTGGTTGCACGGCTGTGGTCAATTTCACAAAAATCGGTGTAGCCAGTCAACATTTAACAAACTTAAACAGTCTTTGAGGCACCCCAAACCGCCATTTGAAAATATATTTGTCCAACTTTCTTCAAAAATTTGAAGCGATGCAAATTGAAGGATCATGGGCACTATCGGACAGTACTTGCAGGTGGAGCTTATTAGGGCGGCACAATTGGCGATAATCATGCCAAATTCCAAAAACAGCACTCGTAAGAAAGGCTGTGGCTAAAAAAGGGCACTCGGTTTTTTTTGTGGGGGGGGGGGGGGGGAGGAGGGTAATGGCTGGGTGAAAAAGGGCAGTTGTGTACAACAGGGTACTTTTTCCAAGTACTTTTTGCATATAATTTGTTGCGTAAGTTGGGGACGTCAATTGTACAGGTACTCATTGTGAAACTTAAAAAAAATGAGTCATAACCAAACCTGTAAAAGTTGCGCAATGTTGTTCAACTTTTGCAATAATATGTCGCTTAATGGGCGTAGCAAGGTCATTTTTATTGGGGGGAGGGGAAGACTTGAAAAAGGGCACTCATCCATCCAATTATCGGACAGTACATGTAGGTGGCGCTTATCAGGGTGGCACAATTGCCAACATTCACACCAAATCCCAAAAAGGGCACTCCTAAAAAAGGCCCCCCGCCTATAGCGGTGGGGGCCGCTATGCCACTGAAGTGGAGTTATTTTATTTCATAAATATTTGTGAAATTCACTGCAACAAGTGCAATAGCTGAAAGAAAGCAAGGAGAGGACAATGAAAGAATATTGCATTTCATCAGGCGTGGGAGGAAAATCCTGCAATTATCTTTCCAGTGAAAAACCCACAGAATCAGGCAGGGACTGAAAACACAATGCACTTGATGACTGAATCATAGAGATCTATGGAAGGACAGGATACCTACATGTAGGTGTAATGGAACCAATTATGAGCAAGCTCAAGAGAGAAATATGGTTAACTGTAATTGCATTATATTTTGCCGAGACCTCCTCAACAATAGTTGGATTTGTCTTGTCAACTTAATAGCTTATAGACCGATCTATTTAACCTTGCCTAATGGTCATTTCGTTTGACCAAACACAGTAGTGCATAATGTCTGTCATGCCTGCACAAAATAGTAATAATAATGGGTATTTATAAAGTGGATGTATCCATCATTATTGGTGCTCAAGGCGTTGCATCATTACCCTGCTCAGATCATTGGGCCAATATTCCAAATACTGTAGCTCCCTGGGGAGTATACAGCTCGATGCTGCCATTTCGGCGCAAAGCAGCTAAAATCAACCACAATAACCATCTCTGCCCTCACAGGTACCCATTTACTCCTGGGTGGGGAGAAACAATGAGTGACAAAGTGCTTTGTCTAAGGGCACACGCACCATAACCCCAGGCTGGACTCGAACCCACAACCTTCAGAATTACCTGCAGACCACGAATTCAATGCTACAGACCACGAGGCCTCAGCACTCCACAAGGCTGACATGCATGCACGCGCATATGTTTGCTCCTGGCACATGCAGTCAGGCATTGAAAAGGCGCACATGCTGTTGCCCAACGTGTGTGCAGTGGTCCGAGCTTACTTAGTGAATCGGTCTGTTCTGGACGAGTCTACGGAGGGGTTTTTGCACCTTGTTACATGTATAAGTGCGCAGGTGTGAAATTACATCACGTGTACAATGACATCATTACATCACCAGTCAAGCAACGGACCTTGACTGAACCTGCTCAATGTTATCTTACCACACACAGGAAGCTGCAGAATACAAAGAGACCATTAAGAAGCTACAGGAAGACATCCAAGACAAAGCAGATGAGAATGAGCGATTGTTGGAGAAGATTGACAGGCTGTGCTCTAAGAAGGACCAACCAGCTAGTCATATAGTCCAACTGCAGTTTATGGTATGTAAGCATCTTCCTGAATGAAAGCACAAATCCAGTAATGTTTGTCTTAAGGCACTTATTGTTACTCTTGTGGAGCAGGCCTATTGACTCCACGCACATGTACTCACTCAACAGTTGCAATGAGAGAGTTACATTGTACATGTAACAGGGACTCGGGCAAACTCAGAATATTCAGCTGAATACTCACAAGACCTGTGGTATGTTTGCGTGTGAGGAATGCCACCATTCATTCATCACTAACCCAAAGAAAAGCTTTGTGCAATAAGACCTTTTCACACTATGTACATGTACATGTACGTCCATGTCAAAAACTACACGGTTCCAACTCGTGTCCACTTCTTAAAATGTCAACACAGTTCAATTTCGCTACATTTTCACGCTACTCAACGCAACACCAGCGTTTTTGCTGCACGTGTAATGTTTCAACCCGTGTATTGTGCGATTGTGTCGCACCACACACACGGTTGTCTGCCCTACATGTGTTTAATAGCTCCATGGATGTCAGCCCAACCATGGACCCGCACTTTGTGTCAGTCTTGTTTCCTGATTTCGGGCCTTTAGCTGAGTGTACTTTGTGCCATGTACAAAGTGTGGACATGCAGTAGTGTGCCCAACATACGGAGCTCTTACACGTGATCTGATTGCACCATCTAGCATGTCTGGTGTTCATTCACAGAGTTCATAAAGTACGATGTATATTTAGCACAAACAGCTATCTGAGATACAATAGCCATTTCAGTCACAGATATCTGATAAAAACTGTTTGGGAAACAGGCTGTTTTGTCTGGCTTCTTCCACCCCCTAACTACAAAACAGCATGTAGGAATCTCAATCCAATGCCTTTTTAGTTCTAACACAGAAATTGATCAAGTCCCTGAAACCCTCCTGCTGTCTTAACAGTCACAAACCGTCACAAAAAATCAATCCTCTTCCCCTGCCATGCCTTATACACAGGCTAGTCACCAACAGTGCAATTCCAAGCACTGCTACTAATCAAATCTAGTCAACAGACAAAAGCAGGCAATTTGGTAGGCACAGCTTGATTATCACTCATCGACAGTCAAAGCATAGATGTACATGTATTAAGTTACATAAAGCAGTCACAGCCAGTCAGCCCTGCTTTATGTAGGTTGGGAGCTCTTAACTGTCAAAAGCAGTCACTTAATTGATTCGACTGAAAAAAAACCCAACTTTACATGGAATGTATGTTTGCATAGGAGGATTAAATAACATCTTCCAAGATGGACTGCATATGCACATGTACGTACTTTCAAACAAGTGGTGGCATTTTGTAAAGTACCTGTATGTGAACAGCTACATGTACCGGAAGCATGGTGAAGCGTCACAAATAGGCCACGTCAAACCTTTCAACAATTTGATGCCTATCACATGGACTGACTTTCACTGGGCATGTTGCGAGAAAGCAAACGAATCCCTTGTTCTTCATTTCACATGAAAGGGTTTAAAATCACTGTGTGCAATACAGGACAAAAACATGATAAAGATACATTCTTTTGGCTGTGTTGCCTGTTTGTAACTGACTTGAATAAAAGAGTTGACTTTTGATAATTGGTTGGTATTGACTATTACTACACTTGTAGAATGAGAAACTGGAGAAGAGACTAAACCTAAGCCAAGTCATGATAGACACCTTGTCCAAACGCTGTGAGGAACTGAAAGATGAGCTCCAGAAATATGGTCCACTCAAAAAGGAAGACGGCCGTGCTGTTCATGACTCCAAAGTCTTCCTTCCAATCCAGAAGGAGGAGGGGAAAAAGAAGAGCACTTCTGAGAAAACTGGGAGCATCAGAAAGGGACAAGATGAGGTAAAACATCCATCTGAACATCTGGAAAAGAAATGTCTTGGAAATTGTTCAAATTTCTCCCCATTAATTGAATTCCCATGTATCTATTGTGAAAGCAAAACACATCTGTAGCTTGACTACTGTGTGTGAGAATTTGAAAATTTTAAGAAATGTTTTCCTCCTTTTCTAAAGGCTGATGGAGGAGTATCCTTGGACCAGTTTGAGCAGCAGAAGCAACGACTCAATGAAAAGATTCAGCATCTTGACACTCAGCTCAAGAAGGTGATAGGAGACAATAAACAGCTGATCAAAAATCGACAAGAGGCAGAAAAACAAAGAGAGGTAAGTTATAGCCCTTAAGTAACTCTCTCCTTTCCATAACCATCCCCTCCACCATTTGATTACTAACCAGTCACCTATTTTAGCAAACCTTGAAAAAGGCTCTTTAAGCCCTTTTCTAGAGTTTTTGTTCATTTTGTTCCTATGTAAATTTAAAGTGGAATTCCATTCCAGCAACCTCCTGCCCTGAAGGTTCCGGTAGTCTGGTGTCTTGACATTCTCACCCACTCTGAACAATGTATTGGTGCTAGGTTGCCTTCATGTAACTATGTAAGAGCTTGCGTGAATCATGTTATACATACCGGTATTACACAGCAACAGTGTTATTAGTTGAGGGAATTCAAGATGAAATGTGAGCTTGACAACAAATTAGCGTTCCAGGTCTTCTTCAAGTTCCACTAACAAGCTCCATAGGTCACTCACAGTAGGCTGTATTTTGACTGACATTGTTCTCACTCTGCAGATATTTGAGCAGCGCTACAACGCTCTGATGGAGACAATGCAGGACATTCAGAAGAAACAGCAGCAATGTTCCAACTGTCGCAGCTTGGAGCTAGAGATTGCTAAACTCAAACAAGAGATTGCTGACTTGAAGGAAGTCGATATGGTGGTCCGAGCACAGGTAATAACCCCCCCCCCCCCAACATTTTGGCGCCAAAACCAAATAGTATCAGGACTAATTAAGTTGACCTTAAAAGATTTTCATTTCAGACTGAAGAACACTGGTCTATGTATTTTCCTCTAACTAGACGGGGTCACCTGACGATGCCACCTGACTAAGCTTAGTGATCTAATTGACCTATCGCGGTAGAATCGCATTAGAATTGCATCAACGCAGCTTGTGAAATATTGTCCAATTACATGATATACAAATGGACGCGGAACTCACAAAATCTGAGACAAACAAAAAGTAGTGTACAAAAAATCCATAGTGTTGTTTAAGGGGCGTGGCTAAGTCGCAAACGGTGATTGGTCAGTTGGTCAATTCACTTGATTGATTGACAGGCAAGAAAGGGTCCTTAACTCTTTCTTACCAAGAATCCATTGCAATCTCTTGTAACCCACAATCCTTTGTTCCATATTACAGATGAAGCTTTATGAGGAAGACCTGAGGCAGGAGCAGCAGGATTCAGCGTCTCAGAAGCAGAAGAACAACTTCATTGTTGAGCAATGGACTAAGAACTGCCAACGTATGGGCCAACAGGTAACGTCAGAATCTATGAACAACTCACACTCATTTCACACTGCCTTACCAGAAAGCATTAGACACAACTCAGGTTGGCCCAAATAGAGTTTTAGTACAATGTAGTACAATTGGTTAGACGCTGGAGTCATTCCGAATGACTGCAGCAATCTTTTGATGGAGCAACTGCTCCTGTTTCAAACACTGAAGCTAATGTCAAGCTTGAAGTAATTTGATTTGGCTCGACATGCAAGTCTGACACGGGTTTCAAGTTTGTCCATGAACTTGCTCAGAAATATACCACAGGTCCTTTGTTAACCTCGCTCAGCGCATACACTGATTTCAGTTTGTTAATTCTAAGCGTTTATTGTCTTCAATCTAGGTTGACCTTCTGACAGATGATCTCCATAGGGAACGAGAGGAAACTAGGAAACTCAAGCAACAGCTGAATGCGCTCAAGCCACAGGGCGGACGTTCAGCCATGTCCCTAGCGCCAACCTTCAGCAATCAGCGGTGCGCCTTCAAGGGACCCAAGAGCTCCCCCTGGCAGGAAGGCTTTCATGACATGCATGACATAGAATGTGACGGGCCAGGGCAGGATGTAGCAGACGGGAAGGATCTGTCAGATTCCATGGGGGACTTCTACTCGACCAGCTCGGGGGCAACAATGCCTGGTAAGACTCCTGAAAGAAGCAGCTACCATTCCATGCAGTCCAGCTTCTCTTTGTCTCGGAAGCCTCTGGAATGCCCGAGATGTAAGAGGGAATACCCAGCGGATCGATTGGAAGAGTTTCAACGCCACGTCAACAAGTGCATCGATAGCTCCTGAGACCATGAAGGGGTTTTGTTTCTTCTAAGAGTACATGAGGAAAAGATCTTTGGTTTGAATTCCATTGAGGAAATTGTTGGAGGCCCATGGTGAAGGAATGTTAAATTACCTAGTAGGAAAAGCGAGTGTCCATGACTGAAATTAGGTTGATTTCACACAGGTTGATGAAACATGGCAATGCATGGGGTAGTAATATCTTGGATTAATCTATAGGATGTATGACATAGTTTACCACATTAATCTTCACTAACATTTAATCATATAACTTACACATACACCTGTAAGTAGAGTGAAAAACTTATCTACGTCAGCTTTAATCAATTTAATCAATGTACACTGAGTATAGATCACTTCTATCATAGAGGCCCCTTAAGTGGTGAAAGCATTGTGCTAGCAGTTGTTGAGATAATGTGTCACAGGGAAGTTGCTGTGTACAATAGCGTGCACAATGGTTTCTCCATTGAAAGGGGCCTGGTGAGTGTACAGTGCAAAGTGACTGCAGACAGCCGGGATTCATCGATATTCTTAATAATTATCTGTTTCCTTGAGAAAAACAAACAAACAAAAGTGGCCAGTGGTCTGTCCTTGTAATGGTCAATATGAGGTTGGTATGGATATCAAACTGTCACGTCAAATCGATCTGGATCCCTACTGACAGCTTTGGTTTGTGGCAACAAATGCTTTAAAATGCTTGCTCAGGGACAACACCAGTAATACATGTAATAACTGGAAAATGATGCAAATTTCACCGAAAACCCTGCCATTTGGGTCAAATTAGAGTCATGTGAGGGAGACAAGATAGCAAATGAAGGACGTAATGTGCAATTTGTGTGTGCATGATTCACATAAAGTGGACACGGTCTCACATTAACTGGAAGTGGCTGGGAGTGTCAGTGAATGTACGCAACTTATTTCAATGGTTTAGTGTGCACTTGTGAAGCATGGTGGAAAAGAGAGTACTTTGTAATATTACCCGAGTTGCACAACTGTGTGTGGATATAGGATTCCATAATGCTTGAGATGTCTGAATGTTTGTCAGAATATGCAATTACCGGTACTATCAAACGTATTTAATGTACTAAGGAGTTTTGATAAGATATTGGTGTGTTAATTCTTGAGAGACGGCACAGTTAAATTGGACTGTTTGTTCAAAGCGAAGTCTCATCGTATGCAAATATGTCAAAATCATGTATTTGTACATAGCTTCCTGGTGCAGGAATTAGCAGAAATTCCCTTGGGAAGGTTTCAGGGATTTTAGAAGTGGTTAGGAAGTGTGGTGGTTTTTAGTTAGAAACGGAAATGAAATGCTGTACTGATAAAAGATACTTCTATGTTCTTGTAACAAAATGTTCTGCGATTAATTTCCTTTAATTCATTTGTATTTTTTCTTAAATTCTGTGTCAATAGTGTTTCATTTACATTGTACAGTGTTGCAATTGCCTTTTTTCAAATTTGTTGCAGTTTTTCCCTTTAGTTCATATGTATTTTTTTGTGATTCTGTTTCAACAGACTTTCTTATAAAGTGTTTGTAGATTTGTTGTACTAGTGTTTGTAGATCCTGTATACTTAATTGTGTGATACGAAATGGGAACATCAAATGTAAACAAACAAAACCCAAGATTGTGTTTTGTGACAAATTCTCAGGAGACTGTAATTGCCAATTCATCATTTAATTAAAAAAACAAATCCCAGACATTTGTCAGTCAATTCAGATATACATGTATATGTCATGCTTTTGTAATTTTGCAATCAAAAGTGGAAATTGCAGGGACTTAATTGTATTTGTCTTTTGAATTTGATTTAAGCTTCAAATAGCCGCAACACAATACATTTATATACATGTACATGTATTTGTCTTATTTTGTAAAGTCTAAGTTTTCTTTTAGTTTCATTTACTCAGTAGTTTGATGAGGGACATCTGGATTTTACAGTGATTCACAGTTTAATGCATGATTAATAGTTTGTACAAGGAAGGGAAAGGGCATGAAGGAAATGTGTCATGGAATGGAAAGGGCATGAAGGAAAAGTGTCATGGAAGGGAAAGGGCATGAAGGAAAAGTGTCATGGAAGGCAAAGGGCATGAAGGAAAAGTGTCATGGAAGGGAAAGGGCATGAAGGAAAAGTGTCATGGACGGGAAAGGGCATGAAGGAAAAGTGTCATGGAAGGGAAAGGGCATGAAGGAAAAGTGTCATGGAAGGGAAAGGGCATGAAGGAAAAGTGTCGTGGAAGGCAAAGGGCATGAAGGAAAAGTGTCATGGAAGGGAAAGGGCATGAAGGAAAAATGTCATGGAAGGGAAAGGGCATGAAGGAAAAGTGTCATGGAAGGGAAAGGGCATGAAGGAAAAATGCCAGAGAAGGAAAAAGGGCATGAAGGTGAAATTCCATGGGGGGAACAAGGGCATGAAGGAAAAATGCCATGGGGAGAAAATGGCACTAGAAACAAATCAAAAGGAAGAGGCGGTATGCATGCACATGTGAGATTGTATATACTTTACCAAAAAAGTGCATGTACACGGCAACAACTTCATTTCCAGTGCCGTTTCAGATGTTAAAATTAAAAATACATTCCAATAAAGAACTGCCTGATTTTTTGTCTTGTGTGTTCGCATTTATGATTTATACATATTTTAACACAGACTACATTTACCAAATCATATTGAAGTAAATCCATCTGAAATGCTGTCCATAAGACGAGGAATTTTATGTTGAAGGGTACCTGTATTGCAAATGATTTAATGCAGAGCAAGGCTTGAAGATTTAATGATATTTTTCTCTTGTACAACCATTTCAGCATTTGTTTTAGTTTTAGAATAATACATTTAAGTTCTGTTTTCTTTGGCGGCCGTTTTATTTTCACCGTATCAAAGGAATGCTACTGTATATTATTGGATATTACTTTTTGTCTTCACTTCTTGATTTAATTACTTCATTCCATTGCATTTACTAGCCTGTAATTTTGTTCAATGCTACTATGGGGTTAAAATTTTGTTTTTGATTGACGGGATTTTGAAACCTATTTCCAAGTGCCTCATTTTTGTTTGTTCTGTAATAGTATTATATCGTTGATTATAGTTCCTCAAACTGTACCTTACCTGCACTGAATGAAATATTATGCTTTACATGTAAACTGAATGAATGTAAGAATCGATGTGTACTTAAGGAGTTTTCACTGTATAAACATGCTGTAGTTATAGCTTCTTGTGCAATTATTACTCTTTTGAATGATTTTCCAAGATTTTGACGCATTATAGTTGCTCCCAGTTCTTCAGCTATCCCTATTTGTTGTTGCCCCCAGGCAATCTTGCTGGCAAGGTTTCAACTAAATAAAAGTGCCAAGTATTGCACATAGCTATGTTCAATTTGGTCAAATCTGACTGTTTTTGTGAATGACTCAGATGAACATGTTTTAATATTCATGTCAGTACATCTTTGTATATTTAAGATTCGGGTATTAACAATAACTTAAGAGCATACAGTTACTCACTTTGACAGAGTTTTCCCCTGAATCTTGCAGGATGTATTATTTTCTTTGAATCCGCACATCTGCCTGGGAACTTTGGGTGCTGATAATTAACCGAGCCGGAGGCGAGGGTAATTATCAGCACCCAGACTCTTAGCGGTCTTAAACAGTGTGATAAAAACCTCCGGAGCACACATTTATTCCCTTATTATAGTTTGCACATTTTTGTATTTTTCAAAAATGTTCTGTCAAAATAAAGCAAAATTGTGAAGGTAAACAAATAGGTGTTGTCATGGGAAAAATGCTGCAAGGAAAATGGTATGATATAAATGGTAAAATACCATAGGGAACAAATGCCATGGGTAAAAAAAAAAATTGTCATGAAGGAAAAGTTCCATGGAAGGAAAAGGGCATGAAGGCAAAGTGCCATGGAAGGGAAAGGGCATGAAGGAAAAGTGTCATGGAAGGGAAAGGGCATGAAGGAAAAGTGTCATGGAAGGGAAAGGGCATGAAGGAAAAGTGTCATGGAAGGGAAAGGGCATGAAGGGAAAATGTCATGAAAGGGAAAGGGAATGAAGGAAAAGTGTCATGGAAGGGAAAGGGCATGAAGGAAAAGTGTCATGGAAGGGAAAGGGCATGAAGGGAAAATGTCATGGAAGGGAAAGGGCATGAAGGAAAAGTGTCATGGAAGGGAAAGGGCATGAAGGAAAAGTGTCATGGAAGGGAAAGGGCATGAAGGAAAAGTGTCATGGAAGGGAAAGGGCATGAAGGAAAAGTGTCATGGAAGGGGAAAGGGCACGAAGGAAAAGTGTCATGGAAGGGAAAGGGCATGAAGGAAAAGTGTCATGGAAGGGAAAGGGCATGAAGGAATAGTGCCATGGAAGGGAAAGGGCATGAAGGAAAAGGGTCATGGAAGGGAAAGGGCATGAAGGGAAAATGTCATGGAAGGGAAAGGGCATGAAGGAAAAGTGTCATGGAAGGGAAAGGGCATGAAGGAAAAGTGTCATGGAAGGGAAAGGGCATGAAGGAAAAGTGTCATGGAAGGGAAAGGGCATGAAGGAAAAGTGTCATGGAAGGGAAAGGGCATGAAGGGAAAATGTCATGGAAGGGAAAGGGCATGAAGGAAAAGTGTCATGGAAGGGAAAGGGCATGAAGGAAAAGTGTCATGGAAAGGGAAAGAGCATGAAGGAAAAGTGTCATGGAAGGGAAATGGCATGAAGGTGAAATTCCATGGGGGGAACAAGGGCATGAAGGAAAAATGCCATGGGGAGAAAATGGTACCGGAAACAAATTAAAAGGAAGAGGCGGTACGCATGTATATGTGAGATTGTATATACTTTACCAAAAAAGTGTATGTACACAGCAACAACTTCGTTTCCAGTGCCGTTAGAGATGTTAGAATTATAAATACAATATTGCATTAAAGTACTGCCTGAACTTTTTTCGTTTGTGCCTTGTGTGTTCGCTTTTATGATTTATACATATTTTAACACTACATTTATCAAATCATATTGAAGTAAATTCATCTGAAATGCTGTCCATAAGACGAGGAATTTTATGTTGAAGGGTATCTGTATTGCAAATGATTTAATGCAGAGCAAGGCTTGAAGATTTAATGATATTTTCTCTTGTACAACCATTTTAGCATTGTTATTAGTTTTATAATAATAAATTCAAGTTCTGTTTTTTTGGCCGTTTTATGGTCACCGTATCAAAGGAATGCTACTGTATATTATTGGATATAAGGTTACTTTTTGTCTTCACTTCTTGATTAAATTACTTCATTCCATTGCATTAGCTAGCTTGTAATTTGTTTTACTGCTACTATGGGGTTAAAATTTTGTTTTTGACGGGATTTTGAAACCTATTTCCAAGTGCCGCTTTTATCATTTTTGTTTGTTCTGTAATATTATCGAGATTATACTATACCTCAAACTGTACCTTACGCGCACTGCATGAAATATTATGGCTGACATGAAAACTGAATGAATGTTAGAAGATATGTCTACATGTACTTACGGATTTTCACTGTATAAATATGCTGTAGTTATAGCTTGTTGTGCAGTTACTCTTTTGAATGATTTTCCAAGATTTTGACGCATTTAGGCCCTATAGTTGCTCCCAGTTCATCAGCTATCCATGTTTGAAGTTGCCTCGAGGCAATTTCCTGGCAAGGTTCCTACCAAATAAAAGTGCCAAGTATTGCACATAGCTATGTTCAATTTGGTCAAATCTGACTGTTTTTGTGAATGACTCAGATGAACATGTTTTAATATTCATGTCAGTACATCTTTGTATATTTAAGATTCGGGTATTAACAATCAATTAAGAGCACTCATTTTTACAGAGTTTTCCCCGAAACTTGCAGGACGTATTATTTTCTTTGCATCCGCACATCTGTCTGGGAACTTTGCAGGAAAGGGATGCATGGTGGGGCAATTCCCATCAACCGTTTCGAGCACTTTAATTTTGTTCAAACATGTCAGCCCCCAAATTAAAAAAAACCCACATGTTTATAATTGTTGTTGGCTGATAATAGCCCAAAAGTATTTTTTTTTCTTGCAAACGAGCTTTACACAACTTGTTGCAAGATGAATATATCAAGTGAAAATATGTTTTAAAGTTGCATTATTCCCTATGCTATTTCGATTGCCATCCCGAAATAAAGATGCCTTTTCTAAACTGCTATTTTTCTAGCTATACGTGTACAAAAGTTAATCACTTTTGAATGAGACATCGATCGAAAACAAATCGGCCCACGTTTAGTTATTGAATTATTTAACAAATGCAAAAAAATAGTTAGTGGCCTGACGTTTCGACCGTAGCAGAGTCTTTCTCGAAGGCTAAATGACAAGACTATAAACATAAACAGGTACATACATTACTGATATGTAACAAAAGCAGTCAAGTGGAAATAGATGATGCAGAGGAAAATACACAGAGAAAGCAGGCGGCTGAACAGAAAGGAGGGTAACAAAAGGGAGGGGGGTTGGGGGAAGGGGTGGTTGACCACAAGAGGTGGGGAACACAAAGGACAAAGTCAATGATTGGGAGAGGGAGAGAAAGGTAGTTAATTGGTGAATGAGGCAGACTGGAGGGGGGGGGGGGGCTTATCTGTGGTGAAAAGGAGAAGGCAAAGACAAAAAGTTATTAGTCATTTCCTTCTTGGATGTTCAGACCATGGGGTTGAATGGTCTGGAGACGTCTTATCCATAATTTCTCTCTACTCAGACGAACAATCTCTCTGTGG